TATTTTGTATCAATTATTTTGGAAAGTAGTCTTCTAATATTTTTCAAGTTTGGGCACATTTCAACGACCGAGCAGTGTAACCTTGTTGTACCTGTCAATAAAAATTGAAATGAGAAATTGATAAAAATACGGTATTTAATAATAATAATAATAATAATAAGTTTATTTGTTTATTTATTATCGCAAGAAAAATCTTGAAAATATCGGAAGTTTTTTTTTATTTAAATTTTGAAGAAACTCAGAGAATCCAGAAACCTAAGAATCCAATCAGGAAGTTCAAGAAACCCAAAAATCCAGAGAGACAATAACGCCCAAGGAACTCTGGAAATTCAAAAACTCAAGAAGACCAAGAAACTCAAGAATCTCAAGAAATTCGGAAATCGAGGAACCGAAGAAATTCAAGAAATCCAAAATTTTGAGGACTATCAACATTCTAAAAACCAAAAATTTGAAGTAACATTTTACAATCTAAAGAACCAAAGAAATTCAAAATTCCAGAAATTATAAACATTCAGAAAAATCAAAAATTTTGAATTCCCAAAAAACTCAAGATATCTAAGAAACTTAAAAAGTCTCACATAGTCAGAAAACCCAAGAAAATCAAACAATCTCAGAAACGCAAGGGCTCAAGAGCTAAGTACGAAAAAACCATGAAATCTAGTGGCACAGGGAAGCGCAAGAATTTCAAAAAACTCAAGAAGCCCAAGAGATCCAAGGACCCAAGAAATCCAAGGAATTCAAATTCTAAAGATTATCAACATTCTAAAAAGCAAAAATTTGATGTAAAATTTTAAAGCTCAAAAAACCCAAGGCCAAGAGACTTTAGTAATTCAAGAAATTCACAATTCTGGAAATTATATAAACATTTTGAAAAATCAAAAATGTTTAACTCCTAAGAAACTCAAAATATATAACAACTCAAGAAATCTCACAGACTCAGATATCCCAAGGAATTCAATACATCTCAGAAACCCAGGAGCTCAAGGTAAAAGGAAACGAAGAAATCCAGTGGGCAAGAAAACCCAAGAAATTCAAAAAACCCAAAAATCCCAAGAGATTCAAAGAATCCCAGAAATCTTAGAAATCCATTAAAAATCTGCAAATTATAAACAAGAAATCCAAAAAACTCAAAAATACTCAACATATATATGTATAAACATTTTGAAAAATAAAAAAAATTGAAATCCCAAAAAACTTAAGAAACTCGAGATTTTCAAGAAGCCTCAAAAAGTTCAGAAAATCCAAGAAATCCAAGAAATCTCAGAAGCCCAAGAACTCTAGAAGTCCAACAAACCCAAGAAATCCAAAAAGACAACGAAACCCAAGAAACGTCGGAAATTCAAAAATCTCAAGAAGCCCAAGAAACCCAAGAAATTCTAGAAATCCGACAAATTCTAAAGAGCCAAGAAATTCAGGAAATTCAAAATTCTGGAATTTATGAACATTCAGAAAAATAAAAAATTTTGAACTCCCAAGAAGCTCAAGACATTTAAGAAACTCAAGAACTCTCACAGACTCAGATAACCAAAGAAATTCAAGAAATTTCAGAAACACAACAACTCAAGAAGTAGGTACAAGAAAACCAAGAAATCCAGTGGGCAAGGAAGCTCAAGAAATTTAAAAAACCCAAGTAGCCCAAGAGATTAAAGAAATCCCAGAAATCCTAGAAATCCAAGAAATGTAAGGAATTCAAAATTCTGAAGATCATAAACAGACTTAAAACCCCAAAATTTTGGAAAAAATTTTAGAATCTCAAGAAATTCTAGACCAAAAACTTAAGCACCCTAAGAAATCCAAGAAATTCAAAAATCTTAAACATATAAACATTCTGAAAAATAAAAAAAAAACGAAATTCTAAGAAAATTAAGAAACTCGATATTTTCAAGAAGCCTCAGGAGTTCAGAAAATCCAAGAAATCCAAGAATCTCAGAAGTCCAAGAAATCCAAGAAATCCAAATACACAACGAAATCCAAGAAACCTCGGAAATTAAAAAATCTCAAGAAGCCCAAGAAACTCAAGAAATCGAGAAATCTGAGAAATTCTAAAGAGCCAAGAAATTCAAGAAATTCAAAATTCTGGAATTCACGAACATTCAGAAAAATTAAAAATTTTGAACTCCCAAGAAGCTCAAGACATTTAAGGAACTCAAGAAGTCTCACAGACTCAGATAACCAAAAAAATTCAAAAAATCTCAGAAACCCAACAACTCAAGAAGTAGGTACATACAAGAAAACCAAGAAATCGAGTGGGCAAGGAAGCTCAAGAAATTAAAAAGAACCCAAAAAGCCGAAGAGATTCAAAGAATCCCAAAAATCCTAGGAATGCAAGAAACTCATAAATCTTAAATATATAAATACTCCAAAAAATCAAAAATTTTTAACTTCCAAGAAACTTAAGAAATTAGAGATTTTCAAGAAACTCAAGAAATTCTATAAGTCCGAGAAATTCAAAATAGCCAAGAAATTCAGGAAACTGAAAATTCTGGAAATTACGAACATCCATAAAAATCAAAAATTTTGAACTTTCAAGAAATTCAAGACATTTAAGAAACTCAAAAAGTCTCACAAACTCAGATAAGTTAAGAAATTCAGAAAATGTCAGAAACCCAAAGGTTCAAGAAGTAGGTACGAGAAAACCAAGAAATCCAGTGGACAGGGAAACCGAACAAATTCAAAAAATCCAAGAAGCCCAAGAGATCCAAGGAATCCCAGAAATCCTATAGATCCAAGAAATGTAGGAAATCCAATATTCTAAAAGATTATAAACAGCCTAGAATTCCAAAATTTTGGAAAACAATTTAAAACCTCAAGAAATACGAACCCAAAAAACTGAAACAAACCAAGAAATCTAAGAAACTCAAAAATGTTAGACATATTAGCATTCTGAAACAACAAAAATTGTGAACTCCTAAGAAACTTAAGAAACTCGAGAATTTCAAAAAGCCGCGGAAATTCAGATAATCCAAGAAATCCAATAAATGTCACAAGGCCGACAACCCAAGTAGTCCAAAAAACCCAAGAAATTAAAAAAGACAACGAAACCCAAGAAAGCTCCGAAATTCAAAAATCTCAAGAAGCTCAAGAAATCCAAGAAATTCTGGAAATCCGAGAAATTCAAAAGATCCAAGAAATGAAAAATTGTGAAGGTTATAAACATTCTAAAAATATTTTTTAAATTTCCAGTAATCCAAGACAAAGAAATTTAAGACATCCAAAAATTCCAAGAAATTAAAAATTGTGAAAAACATAAAATCTTATCAATTACTTTGGAAAATAGTCTTCTAATATTTTTCAAATTTGGGCACATTTCAACGACCGAACAGTGTAACCTTGTTGTACGTGTCAATTAATATACATCTGTCCCCACCAAAAATTGAAATGAGAAATTGATAAGAATACGGTATTTAATAATAATAATAATAGTAAGTTTTTTTGTTTATTTATCATCGCAAAAAAAAATCTTGACAATATCGGAAGTTTTTTTTTTATTTAAATTTTGAAGAAACTCAGAGAATCCTAGAAACCTAAGAATCCAATCAGGAAGTTCAAGAAACCCAAAATATCCAGAGAGACAATAATGCCCAAGGAACTCTGGAAATTCAAAAACTCAAAAAGACCAAGAAACTCAACAATCCCAAGAAATTCGGAGATGCGAGGAACCGAAGAAATTCAAAAAATCCAAAATTCTGAGGATTATCAACATTCTAAAAACCAACAATTTAAGTAAAATTTTACAACCTAAAGAACCAAAGAAATTCAAAATTCCAGAAATTATAAACATTCTGAGAAATCAAAAATTTTGAATTCCCAAGAAACTCAAGATGTTTAAGAAACTTAAAAAGTCTCACTTAGTCAAAAACCCAAGAAATTCAAACAATCTCAGAAACGCAAAGGTTCAAGAACTAAGTACAAGAAAACCAAGAAATCTAGTTGGACAAAGAAACGCAGAATTTCAAAAAACTGAAGAAGCCGAAGAGATCCAAGGACCCAAAAAATCCAAGAAATTCAAAATTCTCAAGATTAAAAAGAACACAAATTTGGAACAAAATTTTAAAACTTCAAAAAACGTAAAATTGTGAAAAATATGAACATTTATCAATTATCTCGGAAAGTAGTCTTTTCATTTTCCTCAAATTTTGTGGACATGCCAACGATCTGTGAATATCAATTAATATATATCTGTATTTAATAATAATAACAACAGTAACCTGAACCAAAATCTATTGGTTCGCCCTCCAGAAGGTTGACGATTCATCTAAAAAAAAGTAGGTAGACAAATCTTTACAGAAAGTGCTTAATTATTTTTACTTTTTGAAAAAGTTTTCACTGAATATTTCAAAAAGATGATTATACTCGTATGAGCCGATTTATCAATTAAGTATTTTGGAAGATAGTCTTCTAATTTCCCTCCAATTTTGGGGACATACCTACGACCGAACAATGTTACCTTCATAAAGTAGGTAATACGAATAAGTAATAAAAGTTTGTTTTTTATTTATTTACTGAGTAAATAATCATGGGAAAATTTTAACGATTATTCACACTTATTTACTTTAAAAGTGGCATAAAAGCATGATTACCGCATATGTGTGAACCTTGCTCACGACGAGGCGTCAGCCGAGTTGTTCATTCTCACGAGTACTATAGAAGGCGTTGTAGTCCACTGCACGTACAAAATCTTATCGGCGGTCAAATAAATGAAAACATTTGTACAAGTTCAGCGCTCAAATGAGTCACTACCTAACTCAATCGTGTGGGACAAGTGAAATTGATTCATGCAAAAACAGACCCCGCAGTGATAACAACAACAACAAGCGCCTCCTTAGCGCTCCATTGACCATTAAACCAGCTATAACCATAACCCAGAAAAAAAACAGCAACCCAAAAACGGTGGTACCATCAACCCGGGCTCAACGCGTCCGCTCCAGGTCCGCCAACCCACCCATAAAAAGCAAAAAAAAACCCAACCATTGATAACCATCGTCGCGGCCTGCGTGTGACTGCATGTACATCCATCCATCCACCTTCGGTCCCACCGCCTCTGCCGTACACTCGCGGATCGATTGTTGCGCGTTGGGTCCTCCGTCGTCTCTCGACTCCGTTCTCCGTTCTCCGTCCCCATCGCAGTGTGTTATGGTGCGCCGTCACCGCCGCTTGCACCGCGTCCTCCTTCATTGCCACACATCGCGTCTGTGATGCCGACCGGCTTCCTGCTGCTCCTGCTGGCCGCGCTCGCCGCCGCCTGCCACGCTCTGCTCGAGCTGCCGGACACCTCCGGCATCGACGGCCAGCTCACCGCCAACCTGGGGGTGGACCACTTCTTCTCCCTGTGGCTGGTCTTCAACAACGACGACGTCAAGACGTCAGGTCAGTAATTGCGACTCGCACTTCCGGTGCAGCTGCGAGTGGCGGCTTCGACGCTTTTGGGGAAATTGACCATTTCCGGTGATAATGTCAACGGTAATTGATTATATTCAAATGCGGGCTCTTGATGCGATATGATCGCGGCCTTGGAGGCGAATTTTGAGGCCGCGTTTCCGGTGACGACGGTGACTTTATTGCGGATTTATTGGCCTAACCTAACTCTTGGCCGGCTTCGGGTGCTGGCTCGTAAAACGGCGAGGAGGAGGAGGAATGGGTTTTTGACTTTTGGGGGATAGTGCTGAAATGGGGGTTAGAGGAAATTTCAATGCGACCCGATGCGGCCTTTTTGTTCTAAAGACCGCAAATTTTCCCAGCTCAGATTTTTTTTTTTAGTTCAAGCGAAAATAACAGTGGAACTTACTGTTGCATTTGTAAGGTTTATTACATATTTTTTTCGGACGACAACTAGGGGAAGCGGATTTTAGACCCGAAAATGGCAAAATAGGCGCTTTAGACAAGTTTTAAATTTTACGCAACAAATTAGATATTTTTCCCCATTTTCGGCAGAAAAATGTTTCCTTTTGTCTGTTAAGACTTTTTTATATCTAGATCTCTCAATATCACACGATGTTAAAAGACAACATTTAAAATTACAAATTTCGGTGGATTTCATTGCTCTTGGTATCAGGTATTTTTTTGTAAAGTATCTTAGCAGCTTTTTAAATGCCATTTCACCTGCTCTCCCCAGGGTATCTTCCAATCGTTCGTCCAACTGCTCGCCTATACCCATATACTGACTTAAGATCAACTCAGTGGTCTCTAATCTAGTTATACCTACTTGCTTTTAAGATGGTAAAATGGGTTTTTATATAAACCAAATTATGTTTGAGATGCTTTTGTTAGCAATAGTATTGAGCATCTGCGATGCATTTCGACACTGTGGAGTCAAATTCCATAGTAACCTAAAATGTGTCATTTAATTTAGAATTACACAACAAAACTATGAATAGCAATAAACGAGCTTTTTTTACATCGTCAAAATAATCGCAATAATGTATGTCGCTTCAATCCATGAACCCCATCTTGTCAGAACAGGCTCTGGAGATAATGGACAATTCGGTACGGCTTTCCGGAAGGCTTGGATCCTTAAAATAATGAGCTTTATAAATACTTTTTTTACGTCGGAAATTAAACCATTGACTCAGTATAACTTAAGCTACTAAACTTAAGACATGAGCCAAACATGTTAGATGAATTAAGTTAGGAGAAAATATTTCCCGGTGTTTGCCCCATTTAACCATGTATCCAGCGCCGGCCGTTAGTAGCAGTTTTAGTTTTGCGTATTTGATTCCCGTTGGCCATAATACTCGTATACCTGTATTATTACACCTGAATTAACATTATCATTTCAGAAATTGGGTCACAAACTAAATTTAAGTTCGGCTTACATCAGATGACTTACATTACTACATAGCAAAGTTGCAAATGTGCTATAATTGTGCCACAATGTTAATGCAACTTTGCAACTGTGCATTGGTAAATATAACCAGTCTGACTGACGCTACAAGGATGCAATTTGAACACTAATGCAAGTTGAAGTTAATTTAAATTGGTCCGAGAAAAATTAATTTTTTTTAATAATTAATATAATTACCTAACGACTCCTTGATAAAATGTGCCACTGTTACATTATTGAATTTTTCCAATATTTACGATGCCAGTAAATGTGGTGTACAAACTGCCTCTACTGATAATTTTCCCACTATAATATTTGCAATGTATTGCCCATCAGAATTTGTAGTTTCATCTACTGCTACCCAAATATCTGCTCTAACTCTATTAATCACCTACAAAAGTACAATATAAAATAACTAAATACTCGTACTTAAATAAAATAGCAAAAATCAGGATGTTCAATATTTCGTCATTGTAAATTTGGGACAAGTAATTCTTTCTCAAAGTTGATTCCTCAAGAAATTATTTTTGCAGTTCCTCTCCAAAAATAAGCGCAATGTTTTGTTAAGTTTCTTCAACGGTATATTTGCCGCAACAAATGCACTGCATAATTCAAAATAAAAATTTTTCCTACGGTCTTCACTATGAAATAGGTTAATTAAAGTTTGCCTGGTATCTTTAGTAAGATTTATTTTATGCAAGTCAATATTTTCATGTTGAAGAAAATAGTTGAAAAATGGTGGAAAATGTCAAAAGTGCCAAAATCAGTCTTACCTTTTCAAATGCTAGCCCCGCCCACCCACTGTCTATTTTCTTAGAGGGTTTATCATTTGCCAAAATTAGTCTTACCTTAGCAAGTATATTAGGCCCGCCCACCCTCCCTCTTCTCATTCTCTCTAATTTTATTTCTGTTCAGTATAAGATCATTCATTTCATTCAAATCAATTACTGAAAAGGAAACAGGATGGGTGGGTGGGGCTAATTATGCTGTTCTGTCGAGTGGGAGTGGAAACTTCTAAAATACTTGTACATATAATAAACGAAGCCGAAAATTACTTCTGGATATCTAAAACTATAAGAAAATGTGCTCAATTACTTTTCGAAAATACTTAGTTGAAAATGTCATAAGTTCCAAAATCAGTCTTATTTTATCAAATACTAGCCCCGCTCACCCACCCTCTATTTTCTTAGAAGGTATGTCATACAAAAATTTTATACCGAGCGATTTTGACGGAACTTTAAAAATAACTTTATTTCAATTGGCGATTTTGGAAAAACAGTAGGAACTTCCGAAGAAAGTAAGCCGAAATCTTTAAGAAAATGTCTTCAACTAATTTTCGGAAATAGTTGACAAATTGTGGAAAATGTCAAAAGTGCCAAAATCAGTCTTATGTTAGCAAATACTAGCCACGCCCGTCCGCCCTCTATTTTTTTGGAAGATATGTCATTTGCCAAAATCAGACTTACCTTAGCAAGTACTAGGCCCGCCCACCCGCCCTCTGTTTTTTTGGAGGGTATCTCATCTGCCAAAATCAGTTCTACCTTAGCAAGTGCTAGGACCGCTCACCCTCCCTCTTCTCATTCTGGTGACTAATTTTATTACTGTTTAGTATAAGATCATTCATTTCATTCAGATCGCATCAAATCAATCACTGAGAATTCGACAGGGTGGGTGGGTGGGGCTAATTATATTCTTCTGTCGAGTGGGAGTGGAAACTTATAAAAAACTTATATAATAAACGAAGCCGAAAATTACTTCTGGGTATCGAAAACTACAACAAAATATTCAACTAAGTACTTTCCGAAAATAGTTGAAAAGTGGTCGAAAATGTCATAAATGCCCCAATCAGTCTTATTTTATCAAATATTAGTCTCGCCTGCTCATTGTCTATTTTCTTAGAGGGAATATCATTTGCCAAATCAATTTTATCTTAGCAAATATTAGCCCCGCCCACCCGCCCTCTGTGAAGATATGTGATTTGCCAAAACTAGTCTTACCTTAGCAAGTACTAGGCTCGCCCACCCCCCCCCCTCTCCTCATTCTAACGACTAATTTTATTTCTGTTCAGTATAAAATCATTTTTTTCAATCAGATCGGATCAAATCGATCACTGAGAAAGAGAAAGGGTGGGTGGGTGGGGCCAATTATGTTCTTCTGTCGAGTGGGAGTGGGAGTGGAAACTTATAAGAAACTTATGGAACAAACGAATTCGAAAATTACTTCTGGATATCGAAAACTACAAGAAAATGTCTTCAACTATGCACTATTCGAAAATAGTTGAAAAATTGTCGTAAATGTCGTAAGTGCCAAAATAAGTCTCATATTTTTAAATACTAGCCCCGCCCACCCACTCCTTATTTTCTTTGAGGGTATCTCAAACAAAAATTTTATACCAAGCGATTTTGACGTAACTTTAAAAATAACCGTATTTCAATTAGCGATTTTGGAAAGTCGGTAGGAATTTCCAAAGAAACGAAGCCGAAAATGACTTCTGGATATCGAAATCTACAAGAGAATGTCTTCAACTAATTTTCGGAAATAGTTGAAAAATAGTGGTAATTTTATCAAAAGTGCTAATATCAGTCTTATCTTATTAAATACTAGCTCCGCCCGCCCACCCACCCTCTCCTTTCTCAGAGGGTATATCATTTGCCAAAATCAGTCATATCTTAGCAAATACTAGCCCCGCCCACCCGCCCTCTGTTTTCTTGGAACTTATGTCATCTGCCAAAATCAGTCCTACGTTAACAAGTACTAGGCCCGCCCATTCTCCCTCTTCTCATTTTGGCGACTAATTTTATTTCAATCAGATCGCATCAAATCGATCACTGAGAAGGAGACAGAGTGGGTGGGTGGGGCCAATTATTTTCTTCTGTCGAGTGGGAGTGGAAACTTATAAAAAACAGTAGATAGTGGAAAATATCAAAAGTGCCAATATCAATCTTATCATATTAAATACTAGCCCCGCCCACCCACCCTCTCTTTTCTCAGAGGGTACATCATTTACCAAAATAAGTCATATCTTGGCAAATACTAGCCCCGCCCACCCGCCCTCTGTTTTCTTGGAACTTATCTCATCTGCCAAAATCAGTCCTACGTGAACAAGTACTAGGCCCGCCCACTCTCCCTCTTCTCATTTTGGCGACTAATTTTATTTCTGTTCAGTATAAAATAATTTTTTTCAATCAGATCGGATCAAATCGATCACTGAGAAAGGAGACAGAATGGGTGGGTGGGGCCAATTATGTTCTTCTGTCGAGTGGGAGTGGAAGGAGTGGGAGTGGAAACTCATAAAAAACTTATGTAACAACCGAAAAAATGTCTTCAACTACTTTTCGAAAATAATTGAAAAATTGTCGTAAATGTCATAAGTGCCAAAATCAGTCTTATATTTTTAAAGACTAACCCCGCCCAACCACCCCCTATTTTCGTAGAGGGTATGTCAAATAAAATTTTATACCGAGCGATTTTGACAGAACTTTAAAAATAACTGTATTTAAATGAGCGATTTTGGAAAACGGTAGGAATTTCGAAAGAAACGAAGCCG